TAATTAATTTTATTCTTTCAAAGAACCGTGACGTAGAAATTATTAGTAATACTTTGAGCTGGAATAAGTCCATTTGGTTTCTCAAATTCACCATTTAATATTTGTTTTCTCGATAGAAAAAGAGTTGGTAACCCTTTTTTCCGCTTTTCTCATCAGTTTAGCTTCAAATTTATTTACAAAACCTCGAATTGTGCCGAAGTATGTGTATTTAAATATCTTAATTGTTTAGCAAACTAAACTATGCCAGTGAGACGTATCTTGGCAAATAGTGATTGAATATGTAACCATGCGTAATCTAGATATAAAGCACTCAATGATGATTTAAAATCACACACGTTTTCAGTTGGAAACTTAAGTTATTTAAAATAAGGAAGAAGGCAGTTTTATTTTCGTAAAGTAATTTAATTTAATACTCCATTTAAATGCAAAAAGCAAATGTATTTCAAGAAAAAACCACTTCAGATAGAAGACTACAGACCACATTTAAACAATGATTACAGTATTTAGTGTAATAATTATTATTTTTCACATTTTTAAGAGCTGTATTGCGGAGTTTTTACGTTTTCACTGACCGTGCCGTCTTTAATGCAACTTAAATTTTTGTTAAGTTTATGAGGCATTACATAAAGTGCTGGCATAAAACACAATTTAAAATGGCAGAAGGCGCACTCTAATGTAATTTCGTAAAAAATCTGCGTGCATTTGAGTCAATAAGTTGAAGTCAAGCAAAATCTTTAGTACATATGAAATGTTCTGAATTAAAAACTATATTGTATAAGATATGGCGTTTAATTGAATTATGCAAACATATATGTGATCATAAAAAAGAAAGCGACAAAATCAATCCCGCAAGAACTTAGCTTATTTTAAAGTTTCCAATTATTACGAAGTTAGGTTTTTTAGTAACCTTTTAGCAAAATATTTAGTAGTAACATGCCTAGACTCACTTATCATGTACATGATGATATACATCAACTTAGAAAGCACATAAATACAGATAAAAATTTATTAAAAAGTATACATTTGAGTCGAAGGGATAAAATCGGCATGGTAAATATACATAGGCGAAAGCACTTTTTTTATGCTTCTTTTGTAAAAGCAATTAATTCTCGAACTTAAAAACATGTTTTTAAAAATTATTTTGAATGAAATAAGGAAATTACTGCCCTTAGAAACGGATGAGATAAAATACCAGAGACTGGTATAGTCTTTTCTGTATGATATGTTGCGTTTACTAGGTACAAACGATCTTCATGTTGAACTTAGTAATTCATAAAAATAACATGAAATTTTGGTAGGTAAGCATGCAATCAGGTTAGAAAGTACTCATAAATGACCTACTTAAGATAAATGTACTTTAACTATGAAAATCATGGTTAAGCCGAATCCGCGTCTCTAGTAGAGGCATTATTGGTTAAAACGAGGCTTAAGTTAAACTCTTCTTCGCAAGAGGTCTCCTGAAAAGCATCAGCAGAAGTGATATTTGAGCAAGCAACATCAATACATGTAGAGTCTGTGGGACTGATCAAAGGGCTGAAATTCTGATGCTCTTCCTCGCCAAGAGTAGGAGTATCGCACAAGCTGCTAAAATCATTCATAAACAGAGGCTCAACAGGTTTAGGGACACACTGCATGCCTATAGATGGTTGGACAAAATTCTTTTCCTGACGACAGAAGGTCAAAGTTTGATCCAGACTGGAGGAATGAGACGAAGAATGTGAGCTATCGCAAGAATCTAGTCTGGTAGACCCTTTACAGCCAGATTCTGAATTAGGGTGAAGCTTACTTGAATTTTCAAATGAGATATATTTTATAGGCACAGCGATTTTGAAGAGATTATGGCAGGGTCCGGTATTAGTTTATTTGAGATAAAGTAGGAAAATGGCAATAATGTTTACAATTTTTAAAGAATTTGAGATATAATATTGTGTTATAACCTTAAGTTTGGCATAGGTTATATAGTAGATTACATAAAACAGAATTAACGAAGCTATATAAGATGTATTTACCTTATTTTGTTTAAGGTTACAAGGGGACTAGTAGATAAATTATTCTGCAATGCAAGAGTAGGCTTTACTTTTCCATTGAATTTCACATTTCGCTGATTTCCCAAAAGGTATTCTCACCCAGGAATGACTGGGGTTTCTGCCTCGCCTACGTCTTCTCAACGCCCCCAACGGCATTAAACCCGTGACAGTGCAGCATATAATCTCTATGCGTTAACCGTTACGCCAAATTACCACAAATGTCCTTGGGTCAAAGGGCAGATGTGAATTTCAAGGAAGGCCATATCACATTCTGTGGTGGGATTGTTGACGAAGCAAAGCTTAAAATTTCTTTATGAATTACTCCTAACTAATTATTGATAAGGAACAGTTTACCAGGGTGGTAAATTAATATATTTTTCCTCTATTGACTTATAAGAAGTCAAAATTAACCGAATAAGGAAAGGAGCAAAATGTTATCTTCAAAATTGGTCTCTAAAAAATACTAAAAGTAATTCTATATAATGTAGGATTTCTAAGAAATGAAATATATCTATTCTATAAAAATTCAATAATATTTACATACAGATATGATGTCATCTGAATACGAACATATCGCATTCGCAACAAGATTCGCTTAACAACTCTAAGTAAGTTATTAGGCAATACTCATTCAGCCAAGGATCTTCGTATAAAATCAGCAATTATAATAAAGCATATCCTCACTAATTTCATTCATCTAAGCCTTATCAACTT